AATGTGTAAACTAAGTGATGAAAACTCACTGAAAGTGTTATTTTCTCTTTTACAGTATGGCAAAATTATTGATATAGTGAGAGGTGTAAATGCTCCTCTTATAATTAAGAAAGTAACAAATCTAGTGGAAGAAGAGAGGCAAATTGCAGCTGGAGAGAAGGAACGCACTGAGGTACTCACAAACCAGATACTTAAAAATAAGTGTGTATTTTTATTACACTTAGTTTCTTTCAATGTCTGTAATAGCATTTTAGGTAATGTTTAATTTTTTGTATTTTTGTGTTAACAGTAAAGTGACATATGTGACAGGCTTTTTTCGCAGAAATTTCGTAGAATTATCTGGGTTCTAAGAGACTCTTAAAGATCACAGGCAGCGACATCTTTCACTAGATCAGGTTGTTCAAAGCTGTGGGGATTGCTCTCTACCTAAAGAATCCAGTTTGCTACAAAAGCTAAAGGACTTTCAACAACTTTATTCCATCACCTTTCACTCCTGACTTCCAGATAACATGAGGACATTAGGACAGCTTAGTCTGACTTCAATAGCCTACACTGCAAACAACTCTACAGCTGGAATTTATAGTAGTAGCAGAATTAATCCTCCATTTCTGAGTATTGTCTCCAGAAAAAACAAATGTCCATTATGATTCTTTATAAAAACTTTAGAAATTTACAGATTAATGCAAGAAATTGAGAAATGGACAAAATGTCACTAGCACATAAAGGTTTTAGTAATCTTTTTTCTTTCAGGGCTGAGTATTTTTAACATATAACTAGTAGCTGCATCATAGGAAACAAAGACATGAGATAGTTATGTCTCATTGTTTGTACTGAGTGAAAAAGATCAAGGAACTCCACTTTCAGTAAAAAGAGACTCTTAAACTGCAGCTCAAGGAAAATCAGACTGACCCAGCGTCTTTCTTAGACTTGTTTGTTTTCCAGGGTAGAAAATCCTTTCTTAAAATAAGATAGAAGTGTTGTAAAGATCTGACAGATGTGTTTGGTGACTTAACCTTTTAGTGGTGTACTTTCACTCTATTTCCAATTACCTTAGGTAGATGAACTTGTTTTTCTAGAAGAAAAGTCATCAGAAGAGACTATTGAGGAGACTGCAGATGAGGGTAAATATATGTGATTTATTTTAGAAATGTTAACAAGAAGAAAGAGAACAAATGTCTTTTGATTAAGAATTGTCTGTGTCAAGCACTAATAGACCTTCCTTTGGTTGAGTTAATGAGATGCTATGATTGAACCTTCTTGTGTAGGGAATTAATACATTGGACTGTCATCATTAGTATTTTCACCTCCACACTGGGAACCTTCAGACTTTAGACAGAAGCGATACATACCAGGGAACTTTTCTGTGTAAAATTAAGGGCTGAAAGTCACTTCTACACAGTCCCTGTGTTGGCTATGTACTTTTGTTGAGGTGGAATACTAAGGTGGGGGCAACCTGAGAGGACTGAAAGAGTTAATCTGTCAATCAGCGTGTCCCAGTTTAAATGGGACAAGGGTCTTTTGCTGAGGATGGATTAGGAGGAAAAGACCCAAACTTCTTTTTCTAAGCAATTATAAATCCGAAATTAAGAGGCTTCGATTGAAGGAAAACAAATTATGGAAAAGGGAAAACAAAAAAATAACAGCCCTTTATTAAAAGGTATGTGTGTATTAACAGGAACATGGAAAAAAAAACAAACCAAGTAAAACAAGCAAGCAATACTCCTATACCCACCAATAATCCCCTTCAAGAACAAAACCGATAAACCGGCAAAAGGAAAATTTAGATAGTTCAATTTTTAGCACCCTTTGGTGCAGTTCCAGCCACAGTCAGCAGGGGGCGCTGTCGGGTCAATGGAGATGCAAAATTTGTAATGTCCTGTACCATTCACCAGGTGGCGCTGTTGGGTTTTTGAAGGTGCAGAACTTGTAGTGTCCTATAGTAGTCACCAGGTGGCGCTGTTGGATCACTGGAGGAGTAGAACTTGTAATGTCCAGTGCCCGTCACCAGGCGGCGCTGTGAGATCCTTGGTTGCCGCAAGGTTGGGGGCGGGGGGGGGGGGGGGGGGGGGGGGGGGGGGGGGGGGGGGGGGGGGGGGGGGGGGGGGAAGGGGAAGGAAAAACAACGGCAATAAAACAGAAAGTTCTCCCAATGGAAGAAAACTCACAAACTTCAGCTGATTAGGGTGCGTTGTAAGCAGGGCCTGCAGACAGCAACAGCTAAGCCGAGAGCAGCAGCAACAAACTCCCCTCCGACAGGAAAGAGACAAAGAAAAACCCCGTCAGTGTCTGCAGCCTGCAGCTGCTCTCCTCTGGGCCGAGAGACCGAGCTGACACACTGCCCCACCTCCTTCCAGCCACACACCAGCCCCTCCCCCCCTTCGTTGTCAAGGAGACTGATCTCTTGGCCATTATTGAACCCGGCCGAATCTTTTGTTTCACCTGATGGCCCGTCCACAGAGCATACACGCAGGGGGGGAAGGGAAAGAAAAATTCCTTGCTGAAATCAGAACTATGACACAGTGGCAGGCCTTGTATCTCAAATTATTTTAATTAACTCTTTCACCAGACTAGATTTAAGAACAGACTTATATAAGAGCATAAATCCTCATTATAGTACGATAAGCTTCCAAAACAATTGAAAAACAAGCTCCATCCTGTTTGAGAGTCCCCTGTTTGTGATTCATCTCAGGCTTGTCGTGAGCTGAGACCTTAAACTTTTCTATTTTTATTGTTATCTGCGACTACTGAATATTCCTACTCCTTCATATATGCACAGAATGCCATTCTTCAATGTTGAGATGGAATAAACCCCTCCCTCATCTCCTTCTTGACCTTGTTTTATTTTTTTTCCTGTGAGAAGGCATTAGATCACAGACATGGATTAAAATGTGTCCCTTCTCCTTCCTCTTCATGCCTTCTTTATTACATAGTTCAAGTGGCATATGCCTGACCTTAGCTTTAACCATTATTTTTCTTCGTAAACCCTGTGAGACCTAGGAGTACAGTATTATCATTTAGCAATTATCTACAAGCTTCACACTAATCCACAAAAACTAAATGTGATACAAAATCAGAGAACAAAGCTTGCAGCTCAGATTCAGCTTCGGGTTAGGGTACACCTTTCAGGGTAATATTTTCCTTAACACATGCAAGTGCCTGTAAGTGTTTTCTAGTACTGGAAACAAGTAGTAGTCTGCTGTTTCCATTCGCCATATCATTAAGTTCTTCTACAGTGTTTGGAATGGGATTGAGGTACATTCTAATGTTTAAGGTTCTGCAAAGATGATGCAGTGTATATTCCCTTCTGGATGTTGCAACAGTATGTCTGTACTGTTACAGCAAGGAACATATTATTTTAAACATTAGATTGTGATAGCAAGCATGTGTGACCAACACTTATTAAATACAAATAACTTCAGCATTTACATGCTGAAGTTATTTGCTAAGAATCAAACATCTTCTATGACAAGAACTGCATGTTTTATAGGGAACCTCCAATATTTGTACAGATTTTCACTTAGTGAATTTTCCTTAGTAATAGTAATGCCTTTCCCATTTCTACTTGTGTACATACGGAACTTCCTAGACAAAGCCTACCATACCTACCTGCATGTGAACCATTTCTCCCCAGTATTAACCCCCCAAAAATGTGGTTCATCAGGAATGTGGATTCCAGGGATAGCCAAGGGTGGTCCTGCATTGCACAACACGCTTTAAGTGCTGGAGTTAATTTTTGGGACATCTGTTTAGCCATCTCAATATTAAAATGGAGAATTATTTAGAGAAACTCACTTGTAAGCAATGAAGCATTTAGTTGTGTATTTATTTTGATGAATGTATTAATTAACACATTATTTTTTTCCCTTTTCTAGAAGAAATCCTCAGATATTCTGTTGGAATTATAAAACCTAATGATGTCTTAGAGGGACGTGTAGAAGAAATTAAACAAAAGGTGGACAGAATTTTAAAATATTAATTCATCCTATTTATTTAAGAAGCATAGTAGCAAGATATAAGACTAACTAGATCCCAATTTATGCCCAGGTTTTTGGAACAAGATCTGTTAATGCTTCTCTAGTAAGGATGATAAAAGCACAATAATTTTGACCTGAAATAACATAGTATTCAGATTTATACTATTGTTCTAATATTTTATGCCAGTAGATGAGGTAAAACATCGACTCACACTGATTCTGTTATCAAAAAACATGCCTTTTAACACTGTATATCAAGATAAACTCAAGATAAACAGATTTTAAAATGTGTTGTGACAGGCCCAGTGACCTTTGCAGAAAAGGAAATCAGAGTGCTATATAGGTTGTTTCTGCAATTACTCTACCATGGCCAGAAAGGAAGGTCAGAAAAAAAAAACAAAACCAAGAAAAAAAACCAAAAAACAGGCAGTGCTTGAAAATGATTTAGCTGGAACTGAGCAGCTGCTACTTGGCTTATAAGGTGTGTACCTACACTGTTTCCAGAGTCAGCCTTATTGAGGCAGTCTGGAAACACTCTGCAGCATCATAGGGGCTTTCAAAGAGCAGAGTGCTGGCAAGCAGATTAATATTAGCATATGATCAGTATTGGGGCTAGACAGTGCCTTTGTTATGAAAATACCAGTATACATATAAACCTCATACCAGTGGACTATGAACTTTGATGCAGGCCATATAAGCATATATCACTTACATATACTTGAATTTAGCGCAGTAATGTAACTTAAAAGAGAAAACAATAAAATAGATTTAATTTTTCTTTATTTGCTGTTTTTGAGGCCAAGCAGTTTAGCCTGATACAAATTGTCCACAAGTGCACATTTATATGACTACCCCGATTATAATACAGTTTATAATAACATTTTTAGAAGTACTTGAATATTAGCTGGTCACAGTGGGCAAAAGGAGTTTATTCAATGTGAGATAGAAGGGATTAATAACTACTGAATGAATGTACTCCATACATTGAACTGCACTATATTTTTCACAAACATTAATTTAGGAATATTGTAATGCTGAATTTAGTGAAGTGCTTTGAAAGGCTAGAAGTTTAGTTTAGGCAAAGATAGCTGTTATATTTTGAATATAATGGCAATATATTTTGACTTTCAGGGAATTTAAAATTTAAGATAATTTTCAATCTTTAGATTTACAATAGCATACATTTTGTGTATACCCATTTTCAAATGCCACTGAGTAATAACTGAATAATTGCAGATTAGAGAAGCAGGATTTGACATTAAAGCAGCAGAGGAGAAAGTGCTAACTGAAGAGCAAATCAGAGTGTTCTATGCCCGGAATAAAGAACAGGTAAAAACAAACTAGAAACTTAAATGAAAGGAACAGGTAAAACATATCACTGTAACTAGATGTGGTTGCAAATCTCTGTACTGTAATTTTTTAGTATGTCGAAGAACTGAATTAATGTAGATTTAGTTCACAAAAAAAGATATATTCTCACTCTATTTTTCTTACTGACTCATACAAATATCACAAGGTAGCACTCAATATTCCAACTAAATTAAACTGAACTCTGATTAAATACTAAAAAGATTTTGTACTTCTTCATATTATCTGAATGCATACGACCCTTAGACATGATACTAAACTCATAACACTATATATCAAGATAAAATTATACTAATTTTGAAACCTGTTATGACAGGGACAGTGAGCTTTGCAGGAAAGAAAATTAAAGTGCTGTATAGGTTGTTTCTGCAATTACTCTACCTTGGTTGTTAGGTGCTGAAATGTGGCATAAACCCAAATCCAGTGTAATCTATATAACAGTACGCATCTATCAGACTTATATTCTTCCAGTCAGAAAATAAGTCAAGTTATATACTGTGCTTTTTAGTTCTTTACAGCTTTTAATCATGGGGTAGTACTGGCAATAGGCATGTGCATAGGCAGACAGGGAAAGTATGTCTGTTGAAATCTATTTTTCTATCCCTGTGCTATATTAGGTGACAGCAATAGCTAAGGACAGACATAAAGTTCAATAAAAGAATGAAATTAGGTTGGCTGCCATTAAATGGCAATGATCTTGCACACTAATACCTGGATGCTGCCATATTCTTTGACAGTATGATAGCTAAAATTAAGTCTACAGAATCACAAAAACAAAGTTGTATACAAATTTGCTACAAAGTAGCAAATATTTATACCTTCTCCTGTTAAAGATATGTGTAAGATAGAGGTTGGAATTATATGTATACAATCAGTTTGTTTGATATTATTAGAGAAACCAGTGGAAGGGATCAGTGGAAGGGTTGGCATAATCAAAAGAAGCTGGGAAAGTATTCCCATAGAATTCAAAATGAATGACAGTAAGATAAGATGGTTCCTACCAGAGTCAGAGAGAAAAAAGAAAATCAATTGTAATCACCAGAGACCTGCACTATGGTTTAGAAAGGAAGTAACAGGGAGACCTTGTGAGAATCATGAAGGGCTTGGTTTTAGCAAAGCTGAGATTCTAGGTTAGAAGGAGACAGTTTTGAAATAGAGGCAAGAGTAAGTCATCTTCATGGGAACAGCAGTCAAATTTGAGACTAGTTAGGAGTGGAGGTAAACACAGGAAGAACAAAGACAGACAAAGCGTGCAATGTTTGATATATCATGGAACCACAGAATGGCTTGCATTGGAAGGGATCTTAAAGATCATCTAGTTCTAAGTGCAGGGACACTGAAGGAGTGAAAAGAACACAGCAAAGTGAATGAAGGGAAAGTCTGCAAATATTTCAGTGTTCCATATTTATAGTCAGCTACATGATTTTTAGCTTCAAAACTTATTTATGGAGCTGTACTGCAGTTTGGTATGTCACACTACATACTGTACAGCAAGCATACCACGTGATAAGATCAAGTTTTAGATCATTTTCTTCACTCCTTACATTTGCATTTTAACCTGTGACAACATAGTACTTGCCTAATCTCAATTAATTTTGTTTTAGAGACTTGATAATCTTGTCTCAAATGATTGATCAAAAAACTTTGCAAAAAAACCTAACAGGGTTCTGAGTAATGTATATGTATGCCAGTGTTGAATAGGAATTTATGAGTTACTTTGAAAGGATTATTGTCTCATTTCTGATGATAAACTCAGAGTTCCTGCAATTCATGATGGAAAATTATGTTTTTTAGCCTAACTTTGAGGAGTTTGTTCAATTCATGATGAGTGGACCATGCCATGTTTTGGTATTCACTAGAAAAGAAGACACTGATGCTATTCCTCACTGGAAAGAACTACATGGAACACATGACTCTGAGTCTGAGAAGCCAGAGAGGTAACTAGCAGTAAAAATGTGTGTATATGATTCAGTTATAGTGTCCAGAGCACACCACAAATCAAGGCACGTTCTTATAGATGCAGACGTGCCCATGTGCGCAGGGTCCAGGGAGTAGGCAGAGTCCTTCACCTGGTCCTTCACAGGACCACCACTAGAGATGCAATTGCAGAAACTCCATGCTTCCTAGTTAAAGATGATGAGAAAATGTCTTTGATCTCTTTGAACTAGCCTTGGATGGGTTGTCAGACCAGTGGAAACAATGCTACACTTCAAAACTGATGTAGCCCATGCAATTCTACTTCATACTAATTCACCCAAGTGAATGTCAGCACTGCTGACTGAAGGTTGAACTTTTGCCCATATTCACTCCTTTGTATCCTGGGAAGCTGTATATGTGGCTCAGAGGAGACCAGGGAACACCTAAGGCATGCTGGTCTCCCTGGGAACACTGTAAAAGCCATCAGAGAGGGGGTAGGGTACTGGGGTTTGTACCCCCACCCTGCTCCATGACACGTAAAAGATTGTAAGGATTAGTTGTTCACAACCATGGTATCTTGGAATGTCTGTTTTTCTTCTATAGCAACTTTGTAGAGAAAGAAGATGATAGTTGTATACACAGTCTCAGACAATAGAGTGTCCACAAAAATTCAAATATCGAATCAAGTTTCACATTTAACAAGAGACTTACTTAAAGTAACAGGAACTTAAATCCTTTGTCCAAGAAAAAATTTGTTGTAAGGACTGATATTTTTGTTGATGCCTGCTGTATCCCTTTCTGCATTAATTTAGTACAGCTGAGGAAGACTGCATTTTATGTAAGTGTCCAAGAGGGACTTTATTTACATAGCTATATAAACCTTAGAAAGTAAGTAACAATGAGAAGTATCTCTGTTAAAGACAATTCTGTATTGCTATAATTTTTATGATCCTGCTGTACACAAATAATGCACAAGCCTTTTATTGATAATTCATTATCTGTACCCTTGCCAGTAGTAATTCTTTCTCATGAAACAGAGGGACTGTCTTGAATAAGCTAGAGGGGAATTACTAAAGCTGTGTGGTTGAGATTTCTCTTTCAAAGCACATGAGGCACATGAGACACTTTTTGAGAAGATTAATAATTGTCTTCTCAGAAACATTATTTTGCTCATGAATCTGAATTTCACAACAGCTTAGTTTTACATTCTATTCTTATGTTTCACTAAATTTTAACATACAAATACATCTTCAAGAAGCCAGCTTATTAACACGACACATGCAGTGACTGAAATACTGTATTACTGCTTCATGTTTCGTTAGTGGGCATGCACTTGCGGAAGCTGAGAGTCTAGTAAATCTATGCGACGTGCAAGACAGTGTCGAAGATGCCAGCAGACAACTTGGTTTCTTTTTCCCGAATTTTCATATACATAAAACAGATCAGCAAGTTGAAAAGACTTTGGCCATAATTAGACCTAAACTCTTAAAGGAAAGACGAAGTAAGTGTTAATGTAACTGTATTTTGTATCTAGGGTATATAAGTGATCTCATATTTTGAAATTTGAATTAATAATTCTAACTTGAATAATGAAATGATTTTAGGTTATATTGTCTCCCCAGAATAAGGCCAACAGTAATCTTTGTGTGGAATGAAGTTATATGGTTAATGTTTTTCATATATTGAGAATGTAAACGTCAATGCTATTTTGTTCTCTTGGTTGATTTTTCAAGAAAGTCTGTAGAATGTATATTTGGATGGACTATTTCTAGAAGACATCTCAGATAAGCTAGTATTTTCAAATGCTCTATAGGGGACCATATTTCCCACCATAATGAAGTAGCTGATATTCTTGAATGGCAGCTCCAAGATAGATCAATGGCAAGGTGAAAAAGATCCAGTCTAAGATATTCTGTGCTGCATAAGGCGTTGATGCTCAAGGGCGGGTCTAAACAGGAAACATTTTTACAGATTAAATAAAAAAATCTACCTTATTAACATGAACCTTCTTCCAAACAAGTTTACTTTTCAGTCATATATTTGCATTTCTTCCTAGATTTTAGATAACACTTTTATTTCTAACTTGAGAATTTCTGTACTTGAAATAAGCTATACAGGATCTGAAAGACTACAATTTTGATCTTTCCTTGAGTATTTATTTTCTTGATGGTTGTCTATTATGTAGCTTAGAGCAGCAGTTCTGCAGGTAATTACATCATCTGTAGGTAATTACAGAGTTATTTTGACTTGTGCCAAATACAGCTTACTTACCCATGTGGTCTTGTAAGACTTAGTTAAATAAACATTCACCTATTTTAGTTCCTTAGACCTTCTTTTGGGGGCAGTAATGTGTATCGTATTCCTCGGTCAGTAATTCCTAATAAGGTTTCAGAAGTAAGAGAAAACCTTAAGAAGATGAGGATCAGCTTTCTGAGTGTTCAGGCAACTACTGAAGTCCAATAACATTTGCTTTAAATGTGTTTTCTGTTCTTTAGTTAGGGAATTATTTCGCCTGTAAAAATTTAACATTATCATTGAAAAGTCCAAGTGATTTCTCTAAAAGTGTGCAAAGTGATGCATGGATGGCCAGTTAGCATTAATTCAATATATTTAACAGATTCTATCATGCAAAGGATAAAGGACGATGGCTTCAAAATAGCAATGCAGAAAGAAATAGTCTTATCTGAAGAACAAGTACGTACATTTTACAGTGAGCATGTAAATGAAGACTACTTCCCAGTCCTTCTAGAGCAAATGACCAGGTATATTAAATGAAAAATGAGAATGTGGATCTATGGATAAGACTGAAATTTTCACAATTAATAATTATAGAATCAGAGAATGGCTTGGGTTGGAAGGGACCTTTAAAGTCATCTAGTTCCAACCCCCTGCCATGGGCAGGGATACCTTCCACTAGACCAGGTTGCTCAGAGTCCCATCCAAACTGGCCTTGAACACTTCCTGGATAATACATGGCTACAAGATACATATGTATCTAAAGGCCTAGTAGAAGTCAAAACAGTATCAGATAACTGCAGATAATAAGCTAATTTCCGGGTATAAGAAATAAATAAATAAACAAGGCTTTCAAAAATTACCAGTTTCTCCATAACTCATATGTCAAAGTCAGAGGCCAAGTCCATTGATTTGGGTGAAACTGGTTTACTCCGCTCTGAAAGGCTGCATTTAGGTTGTCTGTAGGAGAGCTCTGAAATCTTCAACCAGCTGTGTACTGGATACCTTGGGGAGGAGAAATAAATCATGTCTGGATATTCCCATTCTATGATGTTGGGATATGGCTGGGGCATGAGCAGTGTTTCTACATCTTACTGTTGTGATAAAACTCAGTAACTTTGCAATTTAAATTCATGTTTAAGTTTCGTAAGGTTTTATCAGACTGTAGTTGTTTAAACAGAGATCAGTTTTGAAGTCCTCTAATACTAGGGCTCATTTTCCTAGCCTGGACTATATATAATCAAATTACTTTTAAAAAAGTACTGGGAGTTTAATTTTTTTTTTTTTTAAATGCTAGTTTTCCCATTCCACAGTGGTCCAACTCTTGTATTGGCTCTAACACGAGAAAACGCTGTAGCACACTGGAGAAGTTTACTAGGCCCAAAGACTCTTGAAGAGGCCTGCAAAGAAAATCCAGACAGGTATAAGCCACAGTAGTAAACCATCATTCACAGCTTCCAATTTACTTTCATATTCTTCATCTCAATGAATATGACATTCCAACTGGTGTAACTATAGTGCCATCATCTGGAAACTAATGTGCATTTCTGCAATTTGTTAAGCTTTTCTTGGAAGTGGTAGAAATAGAAACATAGAAACTATGGCATCTTTTGAGAAATAATGAATGGTAAGCATAATGAAAAGCTGAGTTTAAAAAAGGGTATTGAAGTGAAAGGGGATCTCTTAAGTCAGAGAAAAAATGTTGGTAAAACCTATTCTTTATAATGTGTTTAATTTTTCTTGAAATACTGCCATAATTTTTTAGAACAAATGATTTTTCTCTTGGCTTAATGAAAACTTTGCATCAGTAGAGTATTTTATTTCTGACTTAAGTTTCTCCTACACATTTTAAAAACTTGCATCTTAGTTCTACCTGTTTATCATATTGTTCTAAGAAACTGCTGTGGTATCATCTTACCCGTTGCTGACAGAAGTGCTGTTTCATTAAGAAGGAAGTTGTATTTCTTGGAAATATAACAAGATGAGAGGTGAGAGGAAAGGTGTTCAGATTTCAGATTGTCAGATCAACACTACAATATCTAATAATTATATAAATATATTGTATATATTTATATTCATAGGATCAAAGCTAATTATAATTCATAGCTCAATTCAGAGCTATTCCTTTCAGTAACTTCAGTCTTTTAATGATTCTTAGTTTGCGTGCACAATATGCAGTCGACAACGTACCTATTAATCAGCTGCATGGCAGTTCTACACCTGATGATGCTCAGAAGGAATTAGAGTTTTTCTTCCCTCAGGAACAAACTTTTGCATTAATCAAACCTGAGGCTGCTAAGACTCATAAAGGTAAGTCATTTAGAAAGTATGACCTACGTCTACTGATGCAGACATTTCTACAAAATATTAGCAACACGCACTACAGTAAATCACGTCAAATACATTCTTTTGACTCTCTGAAATGTATTTTCTATGCAGAGAAACAATTTTACAGGACTTGCATAATTCAGATTGAGATCTCAAATGTGAAATTTCCTTAGCTTAAGCTGCCTATAGGTCTTTCTTCACAAGAATAGTGGTGAATTGAAGAAAGAGAGTTCTTAGATAAGTTAAACTGTTTAAAGGGTAGCTGCCTAGCATCCTTTTAAGTCAAAGGAGAGAGACTTTCCAAAGCTATGTTACAGACAGGTATCTCTACTGACTCAAAAAGGGTCTTTGCTCAATTAGATCCATTCCTATCCTTGGTTTAACTTGCCATTAGACAAAGGGAATAAGGAGGAAACATCAAAGTAAAAAGTAAAAAGAGAACTACGTACAATTTGGAATCTTTTCTTAAAGATTTTTGCAGCCACTTTTTGAAAAATCCTATATCCTGATTATTATTCTATTCTATTCTACTGAAAGTAAATTTCAGTAGTCTTTCTAATGCTAATTCATCATTGGCTTTTGTGAGTGTTTCTTTTCCTCTTGTAACAACCCAGACTGATTCTGGCAGGCCATCTGATACTTGATATAGCATTACAACTACAGTCCATGTTTTTTCCAGTGTGAAAACAGCGAATGCTATTGGTATAGTTCATAACAGTTTGGGTTTAACACCTTCATCAAGATGGACAATGCAATTACTATGGTTTCTGTACATTTTATAGGACTGTTGGAGCGTTTATTATGTTTTCTGCGGGTGTTTGATACTGTAACAAGAATTTAAATAGATGTTGTTGATTTTTTTAAAAAGACATCTAGCATTTTCTGAAACTTGTAAAGTTTGGGTGTGTTGGGGTTTTTTTGTATCTAAAATATTTCAATCAAAAATGAGCTTGTTTGTTATTCTCCTAGATGACATTATGAAAAAAGTTAAAGAGGCTGGATTTAGCATCTCGAAAATAAAAGAACAAGCTTTAACTCGTGAAATGGCTGCACAGTTTTACAAGGATCATGAAGGAAAACCCTTTTATGAACAGTTAGTGTCTTGTATGACCGAGTAAGTATCTTGTTTTACAGTACTGAGCTATGTAAGTAGACATCACACTTTGAAATTACAGTGTCAGCAAATTGTGCTACACTGTAAGTGGTATAAGGATTTTACACTCTGTCAGTTTCTGTAAGGTTTAGTGGCTTCTAGCACAGAGCGCTCTTCCTTTAAAAGGAAGATTTAAAATTCTTTCCAAATTTATGTGTAGTGATCATTAATTTGGGGATTTTTCTCTCAAAAAAGTAACTGCTTTCCAATGGAATCCTTGTTCTTCCCATGCAGGACAAAATATCTTTCTCACAGTGTTGTTAGTATAGCTGTCGAAAAAACAGTATATATTGTCTTGCTTGAGAAATTATTGGGCGAGAATATTTTGGACAAGAACTCCAAATCTAAATACCTGATCATCATAATCTTTTGGGCTTTCAAATATGGGATATTGTCTTAAATTAAACACTCAGTAACAAAAATTAATACTTAAACAGTTTAACAAAATTCAGATAGTGCGATGCTTATCATAACCCTTCATGGTACCTCGGAAGTCAAAGCTAAGTCTGCATCTCAGAATAAAGAGCTTTCTTATACTGATTTTACAGGGGTCCATCAGTGATAATGGTCTTATCAAAGGAAAATGCTGTTGAAGAGTGGAGGAAACTAATGGGTCCAACTGATCCAGAAGAGGCAAAGAAGACCTGTCCTGAATCAATTCGAGCTCAGTTTGCACATGATATTTTGTCTAATGCTGTTCATGGATCATCTAATAGGGAGCATGCACTGAAAAGCATTCAGTTTGCATTTGGAGAGATTGATACGAACTAAACAATTAAGATGCAATCTCTGGAAATTGATGTTCATGTCATTAGATGCATTTATCTACCTAATAATCTATATTTAAGACTACATAAACACACGTATTTTTCTTCATACTCAATCCAATTTTAATAAGGCAGGTTTTTTTTTTCAGCTTTTCCATATTGGAGAGCATATATCGATGTAACAAGTAGTGCCTGCTAGAAGTTTGTCATTAGTAATGATTTCTTTAGGTATGCTTAGTAGATAGTTGGGGTTTTTTGTCACTTTAACAGATTTATGCCTTTCCAATAGTTTCAGGATTTTAAGGTGTTTTGTATGTAGGTACCTTAAAAAAAACAGGGTCAAGGAAGGTGATTAAAATACTATCAGTAGCACATATATTGTGTCAAGCCCTACAGTTCTAACTGAGAGCCAAATGGGGCTCCTGGGCTCACTGGCCAACTGTATGTGTGTGCATCCCTGGTGAGGCTGCTCTGGGCTATTAAGACCTGTTGGTTCCCTCAGGGCCCTGAAAAACATTTGCATTGTTTGTTTATCCTTCCCCTAAATAACTTCTAACAATTACTGTCGCAGGTTAGATAATAAACCACAAGGTCCTTTCCAGCCCATTTACTCAATTCAAATATATCAAAGAAATTAAAATACAAAGCCAGCTCTTACATAGCAGCTATTCTTGACATATCCCTCTTTGCCAAACTAGTGAATTCATATCCTGTCCAGTCTAACTTGGCTGGCCTCCATAAAGAACACAAATATTATTCTGCAGCTGATATATTCTCACTTTTGCTGTCTGAGCCTCTTGAAAGCTGAGATACTAAAGAATGGCATTCAATTAAAGCAATTTACTTATGGTGTTGATTTTAAGTGCAAAGTCCAGAAATAATGAAGTCTTTCTCACACGTTCTTTACTGTTCCTATTGTATTTAATACAACTAGCTGTTTTAAAAAGCTTCCTGACAAATATTTCTGTTATGATGGGGCATTTGTTATTATAGACATTCCTCCAGCAGAAGTTGGACCGAGCATTCTCCTGGTGACCCATTTTCACCTACAGCTACTTTACTGCCATAAACTCAGCTTGAGGCTACCTAACCTGTAGGAAGTTATGATTAGTGCAGAATTTATATGCCACCTCAGTGAGGTGACTTCTGAGAAGCATAATTCAGGACTGCTGTATGTTCTTTGGCTTCTCTTTTACCCATTAAAACTGTTCTTCCTGGCTTTATTTCAGCACTCAAGGTCTTTTGGGGTGCTGGCATGTTGTACTTTAAACCACGAAGCAGCCTCAGAGAAGGCCTGAGTAGGGCAATTTCAGATACATCAATTCTGCACATTTCCTGAGATCTTTGCTGGAGCTAATGGCTTCTCCATCGATGGGGCAAATACAATGTTGAAAGTTTAGATGGGTTTATTTTTTGACAGGAGCACAAATGCTAAAAAGAGCAAAATGTGTTTATGTCTAATTAAGAGTTCATGGCACATCTGGTGGAGGTTCACAATCAAATAGTTTGGTAGGTATCATACACAGGTTATGAATACTGTGAATCATTTATTGCACTGGTCGGTCTGAGAAATTTCAGTGAGCTGGGGGGGTACTGTAGCTTAACCTCTGCCTATTTAAATGTAACGAAATTTTATATACAGTTATTGCTTGTTTAATCATTATCCTTCATCCTCCATTACATCACTCTTAATCAACATAGCATTTTCGTCAGCTTCGTTTCACTCTTGGATGTTGAAGGATCTAGTTTTTTGGGGTTCATATACTTATGTATGTCAATTATGAGCCCTGTTTTGTGCTTGGTTAAAGCAATCCAGTAGATTACATTGAAATATTATGCATAGATGTATGACAGGTTTTTGTTCATTTTGCCTAAGTATCTAAACACATATTGAAATGTGGGAGCATTTGATTTATTAATGCTCATTCTCTTCTCCCAAATATCTCCTTGATCTTAATCTCTTTTAGCAGCTTTGGAAACAAAGAATTAACCAGATACATCTCCAAACATCAAAAAATAACTGTTTCAGTCAGATGATGAAGAGATTCAGATTTGCAAAGCTTTTATATCTTTGAGAAGCAGACTTTTATAGAATTAACAAAATGAGTACTCAAAAGCATGGTAATCAAAATACTGTCAATATTTTAAGAGATGACTTCATCTCTTTAAAAGTTTAACTCATCACTTAGGTATTGCCCACATAATTTATACAACCATGCACTCTTCTTTGAAAACTATATCACTGTGACACTGATATGGATGTAATTTTTAAGAATTTGAACATTTGTGATGGGATTGGCAAGCATTTGATTTATAGAGTCAGGAGGAGTGTGTTCCAACATAAACTCCATTGAATCTCAAAGATTTAAATCTTGCAGTTAAATTTACACAATTTCACTGCCAACAAATCTTACAGAAAATCTGACTCCATTTATCTCATATCTAAATGCCAGATCAAAAGAGAATGCGGCCTTTGCGACTGTTTTTAGAAAATATCTTGTGGTTCATCATAGAAATAGGTGGTGCAAAAATGTCATTAAAATTCTTCCAACACTAACAAAAGATAACATAATTACTTTGTCCCAGCAGGAGAGAAATGAAACCACAGGGCATGTTTATTTGTACCACAGTCCACATATTTCCTTGTTTGGGAACTTTAATGAAATCATAATCTGACACTAAAGACTATGTTAAAGATCCATTTCAGTTAGAATGATAAACAAGAAGGGGTTATAAATCTTAAAATACTGTTTAGGAAGAATAAGTATGTGTAATTGTAGTGAGGTTTTGTACTGAATTACAGCATAAAAAAATAAGGCATGTGGGGAAAAAGTTCTTTTCCCTGCCAAGAAGATGGAGTCAATCAGCCTGTGGTTGTGTACTGCTGCACTGTTTTTCCTTTGTTCTGATTGCTGAATGAGCTACACTGGCAAGCTAGACCTTGCAAGTATCTGATTGAGAAGATACATACTGATCTGCTCTGAGCATCTACAAATTAAAGTTTTCATCACACTGTAACCACAAGGAATCAAAATACTTAGGTGCTGATCTGTTTGGGGCATCTCTTAGTCATCTGACGCATCCATTAACCTTCTATCTGGAATATAGACTGCCTGACATATTTAAGGGTCACTTTTGGGGTTTGATCCTCATCTAGAGAAAAGGACTGTGCCCTCCCTTCCATATGTTTTCCTTTATGCTCGTTGACATACTGGTTTGTCCACAAGCCTTTTGGTCACAACAGGAGCCAGTCTGATATTAATTGAATAATTTACCATTTACTGCATATCTAAGAAGCAAGTTTGGAACCCTGTTTTACATTCCAATAAAGCTGTTGTTTAATTTCAGAGATGTTACAGGGAATACAGTGTCAATACAGTTGCAATTGAGTGTAGTTTTTCCAGAAAGCCTTGACCAGGTCTAATTAGAAGTAATGTACCTCTATAGAAATTAACGACTTGCAAGTTAATGTTTTTTTTTAAATTATTATTATAAAAGCAAACATAATTTTGAATGTTTGTTGAGCCATATTGACATATGATATTTATTTACAAAATTATAAAATTTACCAGAAAAATCTGGTTGAGGAAATGTTTTCAGATGTGCATTTACATTCAACTACTAAGCACAACCGGAAAGCATGTGTCAGTTTTGCATAATTGGAGTAAATATTTTTTCAGGTTTCACTCCTTTGGAATCTAGGTTACAATTCTGGATAAAATAATTTAAGAGCTGTTTGAGTATTTTGGACTGGAAATCTTCTTTTTATTTGCTTAGGAAGTATTTCTGTTGTATGCACTGAATGGATGAAAGTTGCAACACTGAATTGAAGTGACCGGGTCATTCAGGTTTTGGAGAGTGGTTTATGGTTTTTTAAAAAATGTGTTTCATAAAAGAGTTCTGATTTGCATTTGCAGTGATCTTCTAAAATGGTGCCAACCATTCACAATTAAATATTTTTTCAGGTTTTATTCTCTTGGAACTGAGGTTAAAACATTCAGTGAAAATACTGAATGGCACTTCTTACTAAACTAGGCACGTGTGTGTGGGAGGTAGTAAGAAATGCATTAGAAGCATATGTTTGGTGTTCCAGGCAATTTTTGATTTATATGAAAGAATGCCAAACTCCTCAGTAAGCTATAACACTGAGAAAAAAAACATTTGACACTTCAACGATTTGGCCTGTTAATTTATCATCTTAAAGTAGGTACAGTAATTACTTTCATTCATCAGCAAACTATTTGCCCACTCTGCTAAATCAAGATCTCATGACTGTGGTGTTGGAGTGCACTGACAAGCAATGGCTACACCTGGCCATGGAGGTACATGAGAAGAAGTGAGTCTGACCTTTTGCCCCATGCTGGACAGTGGAGTTGGTGAGTGGACCCGGTGGAAATCCATTTGCCTAACAGGCCTCACTGATTTAACATCTACTTCACACCTTCACAAGCAAAGTAAAGCTGGCTGGAGGGTGCAGAAGTTCTGGGTCTGGATTCATCTGGCATTTGAAGTCACAGGAAGTTAATAGTTGTAAAGGATTTTCAAAATGGAATGGTTTGCATTAGTGCTGAATTGGGTTAACCCATGGCTTCTTAAAATATAGGGAAAATGGATTTGGAAAAGCACTCTACCTTACTCATTCATCCGTTGCATGTTTGTTCTTTGTGTTATGATACCCTTGCTTTTTGTTGTATTGCATTTCCTTCTTGCATATTTTTACATATGAAAATGAAAATTAGTCAGCATAAAGCATACCTAAAAGTGTCAAGAATTTAGAAACACCTGGCTTGGTGCATCAAAGTTTATTCCAGCATACTGGAATGGTCAACTTGAAGCAGGAATGGTGATAGTTCTCCGGAGAAAATACTTTTGACGTTTTCTCCCCTGACCAAAAAAAACCACCAAAACTTAGTTTGATTTTAAGTTGTAAAATAATATGTAATGTTGCTATCAAGTCTAGGTAGCTGTTCCAAAAGGTTCATTTAACAAACACCCCACTTGACTATGTTCACAATAAAACTTGTTAAAAGTGTAATATCATGACTTCAGTATTTGTTATTTCAACATCCCATTGATAGGACTGTTGTTTGTTCTTTAATAGCTAACCATATACATATTTACCGGGGTATTTGAAATTGGGATCAATAGATAATCAAAGCTTAAGAACTCCTGCTACACAGGACATAAAAATACTTTAGAAGTTTTCCGATCATACTGAACTTTTAGATCCGGCTTACTTAAGTCAGCATTTTCAAACTTACCTAAATTAGTCACCTGCAGTGAAATTCTGTCTCCTTTGATTTCCATTTCAGTTTTTCCATTTCATTGTACAGGATTAAGATTTCTCTTATAGCCTGTATTTAGGCACCTAAATTTGTGGTCTGTTTTTCCAACATTTCAAACACACCTAATTCCCACTAAAGTCAATTGATGCTACATATGCTCAGCATTCCTGGCAGCTGGAATGAATTTTGGATCTAATTCTGCAGGTGTTCCATGTAGATAAATTTCTGCACCTGCCCACAATTAGGGGTGAGGTCACATTCAAATGCTGACCTTTGCATATTTTAACCAACTGCTCAAAGCTCAACCAGTGACCATGTAGGTTGTTTTTCTCCCCTCTGCTGAACTATCTTATATGCTATTATTCCATTTTTATGTAACACCTCTGCCTCTTTGTTTTAAGCACTCTAGCTTGGCATTTATGTCTCCAGCTCGTGCTAGCATATACCAAGTATAAAACTGCTGCTACCAAAACCACTCCTGCATGTTCAGCCTTGAATTTCATGCATGTAAATTTCGTTGCAATTCTTGTAATAACAAAGATCAACATGCTGACATGACAAGTTGTATCTCCTTATGCTAGTCTACACAGAACTCTTTTTTTTTTTTTTTCTGATGTAGACCCTCTCTATTTTAAAAATGCTCATTTTGTTTTATAAACACCAGGATTGACAAGTCTAGCCCTTAGTTTTCCTGCAGGAATTCTTGAAGGTCTTTCAGATTTCTATCATGAACTCTTCTGATCCTAATGTAGGTGATTTTATGTGTTAAATGAAATTGAAATCAGACTGTGTTATCTATGCTGCCTTATCCAAGTACATCTTGGAAGGATAGCATAAATATCATCTTGGAGTTATGTTAATTAGATCTATGCTCCCTTGCTACTTCATACAGCAAATGTTAAGTGAGTAAACTTACTGTATAAATTAAAGCATCTGCTTTTTCTATCAACCTTTTCAGAGTAAATGTTACTTTCTGATCAGCAAAACTGCAGAGAGACAGTTGCTTTGAAAAGTTCATTAGTAGTGACAAGGGCTATTTCTTTATTTATTTATTTGGTACCAGAGAAAGATTAGAAATATGGTGTCAAATGATAAAAAATTATCTACATGAT